AGGCCCGGGGGTTGGGGACCGCTGGCATAGGTGGCATAAAATCATATAAATTTGATGTTGTTGTTGTGAAATTAAAATAATGTGATGTTTCGATGCAAAGGGGGGGTGAGGTGGCACCAATGCTTCACAGCAAGGAGGTTTGAATTCAGTCTGGGGTTTTTCAACATGCAGTCCAGCTTCCTCCCATAGTTCAAAGGCCTGTTGTTATTGGGCTATTCTGAACTGGCCATAGATGTGAATGCTTGTTTGTTTCTATGTGTTAGTCCAGTGTCAGATTGGTGATCTGTCCACGGTGTACCCTGCCTTTTGCCCCATGTCAGCTGGATGCATGGAGGCTTTTGTACATGTGCAGACATGCTAAGGCTGGGTCATTTTAGCCTATTGTCAGTGATTGTTATGCAACAATGATTTCATAATACAGATAAGAACCCTCAGAGACCTGAGACCTGCCAAATTTACCTGTTTGGCAAGTTTGGCTGCTCAACTCTGGATCATGATCATGGTAACACTCGTGTATTATAATGAACTGTATTCCAGTTAAATCCAGAAGTGAATTTAAGTCCATACATACACAGTCTTAAACACTCAAGCCCTATCATTTGTCAAAGACCACATAGTACTAAATTATCTTAATAGAGCATTTTGTTCTGAGACTACTGGCTTACTTTCTAAAAGGCAGAGCCTTCAGACTTTCTAAGCTTATAATTAGGGCTGATCAGGTGAGTCTGAACCAACCCTGGGGCTGCGGGATCGGCTTCCTGATGTACTTATATGCTATTACTGCATGCCATCACTCTGTCGATTGAGTTTTGTCCTCGTTGTGTTCATAGCCTACCTGCCATTAACTTTTTCCTTCTTTTTTTCTCCTGACCACCCAATCAGTTGACGCAGATGGCTGCGCCTCCCTGAGCATGGTTCTACTGAAGGTCATTTCTTCTTAGAAAGGTCTTCCTTCCCAGCATCGCCAAATGGGGACGTTTGATTGCTCTATGATCTGGTGTTTAGCCTTACAATATAAAGCACCAATTTACCTGAACTAAGTTAAAATTTGTTATGTATTGTTTTGACACAATGTTGAGGTAGAAAGGTGTCAGTTATGATGAAACACAGTGGAATGTGAACGGAAAAGGATGGATGGATGGATGGATGGATGGATGGATGGAGGGAGAAGCATGCCTGCATACAGTATCACTAACAGAAGAAAAGCAGGATTTGCTTCTGAACAAAAATCCACTTTTTACCTTCAGTTTTCTTGGCAAATGTGAGTCTGTTATCCAACCATAGTCCTAAGGATTTACAAAAAAATCATCTGTTTCAGTTTTATAATCCCACTGTTAAGTCATCTGACTGTTGGGGCTAGATGCCCCGCAGATATGGAGAAGGGTGATTTATGAGAACTTTTCAGCATCTATTGGAGACCATAGACATACCCTAAGGAGTCAAAATCTCTAGAAAGGGACATATGATGATGATGATGACGATGGTGAAGTACTTGCTCAGAGTGGTCATCAGATTGTTGAAATTCTCTCTGTATTATTGTAGCATCTTCCCCCACATCCCCACGCACACCCACTAAAAACAGACCTGCAATAGAAACGTATTTATTGTCAGTGAATAATAAGTCTGACCATATTGAGGTCACACACACTGATAACACAACAGCGGTAGAAATGATGATGCTGGCACAGTTTAACGTGGAGCTGGAGTCTGTTTACACACCACGAAGAGCAAAGAGGTGGAGCTGTTACTGAGACAGTGAGCTCAGGTAGAGTGAAAAAAACAGCAGCTGTTCCTGTGATCACCATTAAAACCTTTACTGGGAAAAAGCTAGTGGAGTCCTATGTCAAAGCACCTGATCAACAAACTGACACGACCAAAAGCAAACTCTGTAGCTGCTCCATCCACCGCTGCTCCGTTTGTTTTACACAGTCAAAATCTGCAGTAAGAGTCCAGAAGTTGTATTAAAATATGCAGATGAAATGTTATTCATACAGCGTGTTGAATGCTGACAGTAGCCATCCTGGTTTATATGGAAGCGATACCTGCAGTAAACAGGGGTGAGTATAAAGGGGGGCATTGGGTGTACTAGACCTTATTAATTTCAAGGCTTTTGTAAGATTTTTAACACTGTAAGTGAAATAATATCAAATATTGTGTTAATTAAAATCCATTAATATTTAAAAATATAGAAATAAGCTTTTTTTCCACAAGCCAATAAAAATATAAATGGGCTATTAAACTCTGGTCCACTGACCTGATGGTTGTTAGGTTGGACACTGAATTATTAATTATTAATATCTACACTAACATAGCATCTGTTTTCAGCAGCACTTGCTTCCTATTAAAGCCAGAAAGCCTTCCAAGAAGACAGAGTAAAGGTGCATTTCTATGCAGTTTAGTTTGCATATATATCTTATTTTATTTGTGACTTTTCACTGTACTTGAGATTATTTATACATTTTACAATTTAAGAAAATGTTTTCTTTTAAAAAAAACTTATTAAATATGACATGTACATACAATCAAAGGGGTTTTGTTGTTTTTTGTGTTTTCTTTGACAGATGTTATATGTAGTTAAACGTGAAAACATTGCAATTTCTAAAATGGAAAACAACGAGCAGTTTATTTGGAAAGACCTGTGTTTTTTCTCCTTTGAATGTTTATGATTGCTCATTAATAAGACAAAAATATTTCTCATTCACTCAGTGAATTGATGGAATAATCTATAGATTTATCGTTTACTAAAATAATTGCTAGCTACATCCCTAGTCTTTTCCCTACAATATAAAGCGACTTAAGGTGACTGTTGATGGCCTACGACAAAATACACCAAAAAAACAAAACACCAAAACAAAAAACATTCACTTATCCTTTGGCTTTTAAACTTTTTTGTATCAGTGGGTAGATGTAGTCTGTAATATTTGATCATCCCTTTGTGGATGATAAGCATAAGAAAACATACTGAAGAATCTACATTTGGTTATGTGGGATATTAAAGCTACAATTTGTTCATCTGAGCCATGAGCTAACTCTGCACAGGAGGAAACTTAAATTAAATATGCAAAAAGAGCAAGTTGTCAAATAAAATCAAACCAGTTAGCCATTATAATGATCTGTAATTAATGGTCTGCAATGTAATTGAGTTAGTGTTTCTTATGGATAAATATCCAAACCATAACATCAGGGTAAAGGAGGACGAGAAAATGGAAACTTGTTTCTAACAATTAAATTAATTAATAAAAAAAATTGCGGAGAGAGGGAAGTTGAAATTTTGAGTTCTTTCAAATTTTTGACTTACTGACTATTTCTAAATTTCAAGATACATCAGATACATCACATTTTTTCCTAATTCACAAGGTGGTCAAATTGAAAATGAGAACATTTCTTCAAACACAGCAGGTGCTGTTCAGTTTTGAGTGAGTGATTATCATTAAATTAAGCAAAACTCATATAAAACAACATAGTGTCATTGAGCTTGCGAATAATGGTCTTTCTTTTCATTTTTTTTCTTTTTTTTTAAACAGGCTAACTTAAACCGGAACATGGGTCTTCAGCGGTTTTATTTTGGAAAGATGGTGACCGGTAGTCCTCATGTCCTACGTTGCTAACTTGACGGTTTTTTTCAACATGTCTCCCTCGCAGACTCTCGTCCATTATTAGAAGCTTCTGGATATTTTGTGAAACTGCTTCGTTTTGTAAGTGCTTTTGTTCACGCTGTGCGTTTCAAATCTACGCTATAGCCGCCGCTATTGTCCGGCTAATGTTTCGTGTGTTAGCAAGGTCACTGTACTCGCTGTTATTGAAAGCCGGTGAGCGTTTTAGCCTGGAAGTGTTAGCCTGCTCTTTATTCTGCTTGTTGACCTGCTTTCTAACTGACCTGTCTTGCGGAGCATTTAATGACAGAAGGTGCTGTTGTTTAGTCCAGTAAGACAGCTTGTAAATAATATGCTGACATTTTTTCTTAATCTGCGTGTGTCATAATCGCTCTATATGTGCCTTAAAAAAACAACAAAGCCAGCTGGCTTCTCGGTAATTTAACTGTAACTGCCGAGTAGATTAATGTTAAACATGGATGCTCTCGTACAGGTATTTAAGTGATTAGCCTAGTTAAGTGTCATGCTTCCCGGTTTATTTTTCGTTTTTCGTTTTTTTAAAGTCATATTGCGTTTGGTTATTGGAATATCAACATATAAGCTAAAACGCAGCAGCTGAAGTCATCGATAAATATCGACGTGTTTTCTTCTTATTCGCTGCAGGTTAGCACTAAGCTAACGGGCCGTTAGTCAGCCAGGACCCAGAAAAACAGCAGCAGCATCATCATCAATGGTGTGTCTACATCCCGGAGCCGTCACATTTTCCTGTGTCCGCTCAATGAACCATCTCCTCAGCTCTCATCACGGTGAGTATATCACCACGCTGCAGTTCGTGTTGGACTCGGGTGACCATATTTCCAGATAAATTACATCTGGGATCAGTTTAGGGCCGGCTAGAAACATTATGTGGGCAGCTTGGAGAAGGTAAGGACGGGAGATTAGCGCATCCAGCTGGTAACCTGTTTGTCTCTGTTCATGTGCTGGTATCAATGTCAGATTGATCTCTGACAGAGGTAAACAGAATAAACAACTTGGTTAGGCTAATTAGATACATGTCTGTGTTTTAGTTTTGCGGTTTTACAGGCTGAATCATTTGTTCTCTGTAAGAGTAACACAGATGTACCATGAAATTTTGGGTCAGGCAGGAAGGTCAGACCAAGACAGCTACACCACTGAGTATTTCATATGTCAAGTGTGCAATGCAATTTAGGACCGCTCTCAAGGAGATGTGGTTTTGGTTTGCAAAGCTACACAAACCAAGAACTCTACCCCAGATTATTTGTCATCCCAAACTATTATCCAGATATCAGCTATCATGCACAGGTAGCTTTATTAGGTAGTCAATAAGCTTTATTCATGTCATTAAGCTTCTTATAACTATGTTAAGACTATCTCTGACTATAATCCTTCAGTACTCACAGTGGCAGTTCACCTATCAGTCTGCTTGATCATATGAAGGATAAATATCCTGTATTTTCTTTCCCAGCCTTCTAAATAGAAAAGGAAGCTACATTTTTTTTCCTGTACTTTTATGAGGTTGAAAGAAAACTCCCAAAAGTGCCGTAGTTCTAGACTTTTCTCTACAGGAGCACAACAAAATTCTCTAAGGTTTTCACACAAATGAATTGATATATTTGACTATATTTGGTAGTTAAATACTCAGATATACTGGAATAGAATTTGCAAAAAGTTCAAAACATAACCAAGCTGAATAGGAGATGCTACGTGAACTCAGTGGGCTCGGGGTTTATCCACCTGCTTGTAAAACACAGCACGAATGTCTTGATGCACTAAGGAAATACCAAACTGTAAAAACACTCAAGACCGACCAGATTTCACTCTAGTGTTTGCATGGTTGTGTGTTCTCCCTTTGTTCTTTTTCAGTTGCTCCTCTGTCTCGTATCTTTGCTGGGTTTTAGTAGGGATGAGTCTATGTATCACTTTATTCTTTTATGAGCCCTGTGTTTTTTGTGTTCACTTTTATAAACCATTAAATGGTTTCAGGAAGGCAAAGGGTGAAAATGTTGTGCACTCTGGTCTCATGACTTCATCTCTTCTTCATGTCTCGCTCTCAGGCTGCACATGTATGGCGTTTGCGAGGCTTGGAGGGGAGTTTTGCCAAGCCCAGCACCTGCTGCTTATTGTGGACAAGTGAAAAGGAGACGTCAGCTAGGCACACTCACTGCCATTCACGCACACAGGTGAGTGATAAAGGCAGGCGGTGCCTTCATTTGAAACTTTGAGGATAAAGTCTAGTCCTTGATGTGTTATCTCTACAGCATCAGAAGCTTTACTTCTGCAGCCTGGCACACATGGCTCCATTTTTGTACTTTTGTTAATCGTACCATATTAAAGCTTAAAGTCTTCACTTCAGTCTTAGAGTCCACTGTGGTGAAGATCGTCATGCAAATTCTTTATACAAATGACTACTAACCATGATTTAAGGAATGCTAATTTTTTCAAACCAGTAAGTTTCTCCTGAAGGTGAAAGGGAATCAGCTGCATGCACAGCCTGAATTCATACGCAATCCCTTCCTGAACTCGAGCATGAAAAATAACTTGGCTCAATGTCAATAAAATACATAATTATCACACAGTAAAACAGTTCAGAAGGGTAAAAAAAATGTCACTCAAACAGGGGCTCAGTTAAACAGGATACAATGAATAACCTGTTTGTGTTACAATAAGGAGCTTAACTATAAATGATGAGGTGGTAAAGATTTTCTGTATCCGTGTGTGGCAGTGGAGCTGAAACGACTCTTTAAGTGTTCAGCTGCATGTCCAGTAAAATGTGAACAGGACAGTCAAGCTAACTATCCACATCTGTTTACTACAGCCACAGTCCCATCAGCTGATGTAGGAATCCAATCAGTGTGTTGTTTCAGACTGATTCAGATAACAGTCGCAAATTTCTTCAATGAGCGATACGGACGCGTTCCATCAGCTGGCAGTTCAGTATTTGCAGTAACATGTCTGGGACTGCACTGCAGAGATTAACATCTCTGTTTGTTTCAAAATGGGGCGATCGTGGCTCAAGAGTTGGGAGTTCGCCTTGTAATCGGAAGGTTGCCGGTTCGAGCCCCGGCTTGGACAGTCTCGGTCGTTGTGTTCTTGGGCGAGACACTTCACCTGTTGCCTACTGGTGGTGGTCAGAGGGCCCGGTGGCACCAGTGTCCGGCAGCCTCGCCTCTGTCAGTGCGCCCCAGGGTGGCTGTGGCTACAATGTAGCTGCCATCACCAGTGTGTGAATGGGTGGATGACTGCTTGTGTAAAGCGCTTAGGGACTAGTAAAGCGCTATACAAATACAGGCCATTTACCATTTACTATCTCTGTTTGTCTCAAAAGTCCTGAAATCACAGAAAATTCACTAGTAGACACATAAAAACTTGAATTTATAGAGACTTTATATATACATATATAAGCATCTTATTTAGATGAGAATTACATTTAAAGTTTACCAGTAAATAAAAAGTCACATAAAGCTTTTTTGTTTTAAAGTGACCTAAAGTGGCCGACCCTTCCTGTCCTCACAGGTCCCTACTGCCATCCCGTTCAACCCTTATGAAGAAGAGCCACTCTGCAGTCTGTGAGCTGTCTCGGAGAGAGGGGCAAGCATTGGTTTCAGCCTGGGAGTTTCCTCTCTGCTCTTCTTCTTTCCAGCTTTTCCTCTCCTCCTCTTCTTCTTCTGCTGTGATTTGTACGAGTCTTCTCTGAATGGGCTAATAGAGTTGAAAGAAAAGGAGGAGAGATCTGATCTTTTTCAGTCTTGATTCAATCCGCCAGAGTTTAACTCTTGCCAAGCCAATTTTACTTTTACTTTATTGCCAAGGCAATTTGTTTTTCTATTTCTCGACCAAAATTTTGTATTTTCGTGAGATTGATTTGGTAACATTCACTAAAAAACACAATTGTTTTTCTTTAAGTGGGAAGATTTTGTTTGTTTGTTTGTTTGCATTTTGTTTTTTAACAGAACGTTTTTTCCTCAGACTCTGTTACTCCACTCTTTGAAGCACAGTACTTTCCAGACTTTTATTCTTTATTAATAAGCTTCTCTGGGTATAAAAATGAACCGGCCGGCTCCAGTGGAGATCTCCTATGACTGTCTGAGATTCCTCATCACGCACAATCCCACCAATGCACAACTCGGAAGGTTTATAGAGGTAACACGTGTTTAAGATCTCTGCACGCTTTCTCCTTTGGAAGACACAGAAGCAGGGTGTTGTGTTAAAATGTGTGATTTGATGTGTAGGATCTGAAAGCATTTGGAGTAAACACCTTAGTGCGAGTGTGCGCTGCCACGTACGACAAGACACCGGTGGAACAAGAAGGCATCCAGGTTCTGGTAGGTGATCCGTAGCAAACAGTACTTAGGCGGCTGTAAATAATGACAAGGGCAATTTGTGAAGAGAGAGTCACACGTTGAGTTTAATGCAGCTGCTGTCATTAAAGGATTACGCCAGCTTCCAGTACCAAAGTCAAAAAACACACAGAACCTAAATCAAACAATAGAGTGGGCTGAACAGTGAACGCCACCCACAAAGGGAGGAGTAAGAACATGATCTGCAGGGTAGTTAAAGGATTAATGAGCTAAAGAAGAAAATTAACCTTCAGGTGACTGAGTTATGCATTTCACTGTCCTGCTGTGATATTTTCCGTGCATCCGTGAATCTGTTCTCCCTCTTATCTGGTTCAGGTCATGGTTTAGTTGGAGTCTATCCCAGCAGATTACGAGTTTTTCAGTCTATTTTTCTACAGCTTTTCATGGTTTTTCACATGTACTGGTGTGAAGAGAGTTATGGAAAGGTGTGGGTTTATATATATTTTTTAATATTATAGACTTTGATTTTATTATAATGTCCCACTTCTCATCACTACATCCTGATGTTTTCTGGGGAAATGTGGCCAGACCAGTATTGGAAGATATCCTGAAGAACCTGTTCTTTGACACCTAAGCAGCCAGAGCAGACGTACAAACTGCAGATTGTGCAAAGATGGATGTAGCCGTGCTCAACAGCTTTAAAAAAAATTACAGTTTCCTAAGTTGGTATAATGTTCTGTTCAGTATGATGTAAAATGTGTGACCGAGGGAATTAAATCATCAGGAAGGTTTTTATTGAGGTGTCAGTGAGTTCAGTC